CGACTGTCCTCGCAGCTCTCCTAGGTGAGGAGAGGAACTTTCCAGAGTCCTTTGAGGTGACCCTCCCTGCTACACTTCCTGGTTTCTCCCTCTGCAAAGTCCAAGGCCAAGGGATACGATTTTGTGTATTTTACTAAACCGCAGAGAGAAAAATAGAAATGGAACTTTTAATATGAAAGTTAATACCATGGGTCACATTGAGACATGATCTGCAGCAGGAAGGGGTAGACCAGGTGTCCCTGCCTGGTGCAATGACAGGTGACAGACACTGCGACAAACAACATGAGGGGGGAGGCCAGTCCGCGTCAGGAGGAAGGTGCGGAGTCCAGGTGGGGGGTGAAACCCTGGGGCTGAACATGTGGGGCAGGCCAGTCATTCCGGCATCTGGAGGCGGAGGCAGGAGGGCTGCTATTGAGACTAACTTAGACTACTTGGGAAGACCTCTTGAAAATAATAAACACAACAACCATAAAGAAAAACAGAGCTACGTGTAGTGGCTCACACCTATAATTCCAGCACTCAAGAGGCTGAGGCAGGAGGACTGCGTGAGTTTGAATCCAGGCGAGCCATGGCTACATGACAAGACAAAAAAGAAAAAAAAAATCCTGGGCCAAAAATGACAGTGACAGACGGCGCCAATGAGGAAGGAGGTGAGCAGCTCCAAAGCCAAGCAGATCAGGCAGGCTTGAGCCAGGAAAGCAGACAGTAGAGCGGACAGTTCAAGCAGCCAGGTCATGGGAGCACCCGAGCCTGGAGTGACAAGCTTTCTGGCCCTGCAGCACAGGGTGGGGGTGTGAGTGTGTATGTGTACATGCCTGTGAGTGTATGTGCATTGTGTGCCTGTGAGTGTGTGCACTGTGTGCCTGTATGTGCATGTGTATGTATGCACTGTGTGCCTGTGTGTGCATGTGTGTGTGCATGTGTGTGTGCACTGTGTGCCTGTGTGTGCATGTGTGTGTGTGCATGTGTGTGTGCACTGTGTGCCTGTGTGTGCATGTGTGTGTGCATGTGTGTGCACTGTATGCCTGTGTGTATGTATGTGTGTGCACTGGGTCTCTGTGTGTAGGTACATGTGAGTGTGTGCAACGGGTACCTGTGTATGCCTGTGAGTGTGTGTACAGGGTGCCTGTGTGTGCTCTGGGTGCCTGTGTGTGCATGTGAGTGTGTGCACTGTGTGCCTGAGCGTGCATGAGTGTGTGCACTGTGTGCCTGTGTGTGTGCATGTGAGTGTGTGCACTGTGTGCCTGTGTGTAGGTGTGTGTGCACTGTGTGCCTGTGTGTGTGCATGTGAGTGTGTGCACTGTATGCCTGTGTGTGCATGAGTGTGTGCACTGTGTGCCTGTGTGTGTGTGTGTATATGTGTGTGTACACATAGTAACGTGAACACGTGTGTGCCACAGGATGGATCTGGAGTTCAGAGGACAGCCTTGGACAGCAGTCATCATCATCTATCCTCTTGAAACAGGGTCCCATCATGTTCTCCTGCTGTTCACACAAGACTGGCCCAGGAGCTTCCAGCAATCGTGACCCTGACTGCCTCCCATCTCCTTGCAGGAGCACTGAGCTGCCATGTGGGCTTTAGACAGGTAGCAGAGATTTAAATCTGCTCCTTACACTCAAACATCAAATCCTTTTACCTACCGGGCCATCTCCCAAGCCCAGCAGGGTGGAGACCTTTGAGAGCACTGCCCAGGGAGGCAGCTGCTACCACCCTCATCTCACTGTACCCCAAGTCCTACTGGCTTTACTTGTTGAACGGCCAGAGGCAGCACTTTCCCCCATCCCCGGACGACCGCCACCATCTGACTGGACATTGTGACTTCTCTCATTCTAGAACTGGTCTAGGGATCCACAGCGCCCTTTTATCTCCAACACTGTGGCCGGGGGACGGTTGGCGTCTTTGTATACAGACTGAAAGCCCGAGACAGAGAAGGTGACTTTCCAAATTTACCTAGTTTTTAAACAGTGGGGGCGGGAAACTGGAAGGCAGGACCAGAGTCTACCATGCCCAGGTTGTAGGTCTCAGTCTAAGGTACCAAAGGAAGACAGAATGGGGGTGCAGTCACTGTCCCTCTTCAGAGTGTCAGGAGTGCCTTGCTGGACAGCCCGCCAGTCTTGCTTTTTCTTTTCTTGACAACTGTTTTGCACACGAGGAAGGTACGGCTCAGGGAGGAGGAAGGGCCGAGGCTGTGCACATTTGTGCTTTGTGTCCTGGTCACTAGACAGCAGAGAGTGAGAGCCAATTGTGGGCACAGGGTGGCTTGCTGAGCTGGGCAGGAAGGAGTGTACAGCCTGCAGCTGGTGGCCATCTACTGCCACTGCCTGGCTTCAGGGCAGGGTCCATGCAGCATGTCACCCACCTGGCTGAGGAGTGACTACGGCTGGAGTCATGAGGCTAATGGTGAGGAGCACAGCTGGGGAGCACAGCTGGAATCAGAGCAGTCCCATGGCTCTCTGTTTCTCTCACTTCCTTTCCCACTCTCTGGACTACAGGGTCAGCCATGTGGATGTGTGGCCACAGCCGTGTGGGGTCACACTCAGGGCTGAACACATCCTACATGCCTGGTCTCTGGCCCTGCGAACCTGTGAAATTCTCCTTCCTCCCTTCCTCCACGTTATGTCTCTTTGCCCAACAGCATGGTGTGACGGCCAAGATAACACACCCCAACGGAGTCCTCTAATGTTACAAGTCAAATCACAATGACTCCTGAATATGCACAGAGAAGAATGAAAGCCCGGCCTCCAAGAGATGTTTACACACCACCCCTGCAGTGTGGCTCGCAAGGGCTACGGGAAGAAAAATGACCCGATTGTCCACTGACCAGTGAACAGAGAAACAAAGTAGGGTCCATTCGTGAGCATGACTATGACTCAGCCCTGAAAAGGATGGGAATTGACACCAGCTACATCACGGAGGAGCCTCAGGAGTATGCTAAGTGACAAGTCCAGACACAAAGGGACAAATCCCACAGTCTCTAGGAGAGTCAGCTGTGGAGACAGAGAGAGAGAGAGAGAGAGAGAGAGAGAGAGAGAGAGAGAGAGAGAGAGAGAGAGAAAAGAAATCTTGGGTGCCGGGAAGGATGGAGGAGTTGGTGTTAAATGGATACAAGGCTGCTTGGGACAAGACAGAGAGTTCTCAAAACAGATGGTGGTACTGGCGGTACAGCAATGTGGCCGTTCACACTGAAACTGACTGCGGGCGTAAGTGCTAGGCATGTATATTTCCTATTAATAAAAGTTAAAGAGGCCATGCACACACATGCACGCACAGCATCGCAAGCTAAGGTAACTATCACAGAGGAAAGAAAAAAGCCATTTTCTTGCCTTTGGAACAAGGCTCCTGCATGTCACTCTGCACTGGACTGAAACTCCCAACCTCAGGACATAAAAATCCAGTGTCCTTGTCTCTCAAGGCCACCTACCTGAGCTAACTTTGCTGGGCTTTAGCCAGAGGCAATGCATTCAGATGCAGAAGACTCCTGTCTGTCTGGGAGAACATGGCTCCTGCAGAAGAGGCAGAGGTCACGCAGGTGAGGGGTCAGGAGCCTCTCTTTCCCTGCCGTCTCATACTGTGTGGCACATCAGAGCTCCTGGGAACTGCGGATGCTGGGGCCCAACCTTGGCAGGCTACACTCCATGTCAGAGCTAGAGCCTGGATTTTGTGTTCTTCAATGGCTCTAATGTATGCTCATTACTTGAACCAAAGGCTTTGGAACTTGGAGAAGGACAAGGCAGAGGCCCCACCCCACGCACATTGTCCTGTCTCCTCTAAATATGGACATATCTTCTTTAGCATCTTATTTATTTATTGATAGGCAGGGTCTCATGTATCCCAGGCTGGCCTCAAGCCTATCACCATAGTTCAGGATGACTGCGCATGTGCCGCCATGCCCAGTTTATGTCATGCTGGGGATCGAACCCAAGGCTTGGTGCATGCTAGGGAAGGAACCTACCAACCGAGCTACGCCCCAGCCACATCTTGATTTTTTTTTAAAGCCCATTCTTGCCAGTGTGATGGCACACACCTGTAATCTCAGCTTTCTAAGAGATGGAGGAAGAGTATCTAAGGTTTAGAGCCTGTCTGGGCTCCACAGTGACCTCCTATCACGAGGGTACAGTTGTGGGTAGACTGCAGCCCAGCATGCAGGAGGCCCTGAGTTCCATCTGCAACACTGGAAACTAAATCCTTCTTAGGAGTGTGTTCATTTTTGCCACCAGGATGTGGACCTCCCTCCCCAGAGGCCAAGGTCATCTTCCGGGCCTCCTACAAGGGCGGCTTCCCACCTGCTCAGCCTCTACATATATTCATCAAGAAGTCCCAAGCACAGATTTAAGGCCCAGGCTGGCTACCAGAGCCAAGGGTTCTGTGGGAAATGCTCTGAGAAGACGTGTGGTGGTGGTGTGTGTGTTGGGGGGCGGGGGGGGGGGGGGGGGATGAGAGGTAGGGTGGTGGGGAGAGACAAGAGACTTCCTGGCCTCGTGGCAGTACCGGAGGGCCATGTGGGCAAAGTGGTCCTTTGCTCCTGGGTCTGATCTGCAGATATCAGCTGGGATTTGAAGGCAGATTTGTGAGCTGGGGTGTTCATAACTTGGTCCTGCTGACTCCTATTGAAAATTCCACTGCAGCCCTGGTTCTCCTGGGCTCCTGAGGGGGGCCTCTGTCTCCCCACTGCAGGCCTGTGGTCATGCTTACCAGAGTAGGGTGCAGGCCATGCAGATGGTCTGGGCAAGGGTCTCCACAGGGCTCTTTGTTCTGGATGGAATTATAAGCCAATGATCTATCTGAAGGAATTACGCTGATAAAAGGAAATTCGTCTTTTAAGAACAGATGAGAGGCAGATGACTGGAGTTCCAAAGAATGCTGTGGTTGAACTCTTTTTTTTTTTTTTTTTTTGTTATTTGTTTTCTGGCACAATCTGTCTCTGTGACTGAGCTGAGGGCTGTGTTCCTGTGACAAAGGCCTCTTTCTTACGACAGTTTAATAGCTCCAATACGGGACAGCCCTGACTCTCATAGGCCGTGCTCTGAGGGTTCCTGAAGGAGGTAGAACAGGGCTGCTTTTTTGCAGTCTGGTTCAAGCTGAGCTGAGGGAGACCTGGAGCGGGAGGATTAACCTCCCAAATTTCAAGCTCCTCCTACCAAAACTACCAAAGGTAAAGAGAACCAGGTACACGGGCATGGATGGGATGCAGGTTACAGTGTGACCTTGAGGCTTCATGGGAGGAAATGTTTAGAAAGCTAGGCAGGGACCAGGTTGGAGGCCCAGGTGTATTCTGGGAGGCTCTCCCTGGGCTCCTGAGGGCTGTTAGAGCAGAGATTTCTCAGGGTTCTTGAGGCCAGAAGTCTAACGTCAAGGGATCAGCAGGGCCAGGCTCCCTTCAGTAGCTCTAGGGAGGATCGTTCCTGCCTAGTCCAGCTCTGGGTGGTATCTGAGATTTGAGGAAGGCTTCTGTCTGAATCTGCATCACTCCAAGCTCTGCCACCACCGCCACGTGGTGTCTTCTCTCTATGTATCTGTGTAACTACACATCCCCATTGTCTCTCTCGCCTCCTTCTCCCCCCTCCCCCTCATCCCTGTCTTAAAGTGCTCCCAGGCATCGAGGACTTAGGACCCATTCTAATCCACTATAAGCTGATCGGAACTAGCCAGGACCTACTGCCATGTAAGGACCTTCACAGTGCTGAGGGTTAGGGTGCCTTTCCTCCACCATCACCTCCATTCCAGAACTTTCTGGAATGTGGCCCTGGCTCTTATCTCTGTCTTCCTCAGTGACTTTGCCCATCTGTCCACCTGTCCCGTAAGGTGAGGCAAGACAAGCAGTTCACGACAAAGTGCCATCAGACCATTTTGGACCCACCTCTCTGGAGTGTCCCTTCCCTCCCTCCCTCCCTCTCTCTCCCTTCCTCCCTCCTTACTTCTCCACCTCTCCTCCTCACTTCCTCCCTTCCACTCATCCTTCACTACCCACTACGCAGGGCAGCCATCAGGGGCTACGGTTCTCACCACAGTGGCAGGTACTGCAGACACACTCAAATCCTTCTTCAACACTGATGTCTGCTTCCTTTAGAACCAGCTGGACAGACTGCTTCTCACTGGGGTAATTTTGCACATGCTGTCTCCCAGCATGCCCAGGGACATAGAAGATGCACTTGACAGTTAAATCAGGACTTCTACAGACAACATCCAAGGTACTCACAACGAGAGCTGACATATTGCCCTGACAGGGAACTGACTCCAGCTCCCTAACACTTTGGGGGACACTTTCCAAGCCTTTAGGTTACAGCAGATGTGTGGCTTGAGAGGCAAAGAAGGGCAGTGGTTAGAGACGCAGGCTCTAGAGTTGGGTTGTTTGGGTTCAAAACCCACCCTGCCCTGGGTTTGGACATTCCAGGTCTGCAAAATGAGGAGGCCGTCTCCCCCACAGAGAGGACCGGGAGGCACAGACAGCAGGTTATATCAGGACACCAGGTCTCCATGTGGAAGGGGCTCAGGAAATGTCAGCTTCATGGGTTTTGGAATCTGATGAACGGAGGTTAAATGCCATACTTTTGCTAAAGAATGGCCACACCTCTGCAGCGGCCCCCACCAAGCAATCATTATAAACAGACCACTGGTGACACATGTTCGTATTCAGTACCACATGGGCACTAATGTCCCAAAGCTCCCTCTCAGCTCCCTCTACAAAACGTATGGGGGCGGAGACCACCCTCCCTATGGAGTGCTGCCTCAGTGGTCTGTCCTGGAAGACAATAGCTTCCTTCCCCCGAGGTATCTGCAACCAGCTGCTGGAGAGGATGGAGGGAGCGTGTCATCCTGAGTGCCTGGGAAAGCCACATAGAAAGCATACTGGCTCCCAGAGGGCTCTGTGGGCCTGCCCCTCCCCTCGCTGCTCCAGGCTAACAGAGCACATGTTGTGAATCTATGGCTCCTGCTGCCAAGACGTCCGGCCCCTGTCGCCAGGGACTTGGGTGGGGGCGGCTGAAGCCGTGGGGGGAGGAGGAAGGGGTGGGCATAATGGGCCCCTTGTGCTGCTGACTGGAGGGAAAAGTGACTGCTAGTTGCTCAGGGCAAAGGGGGCGGGGGCGGGGGGGGGGGCTCGGTGGCCTCCTTGTTTTGAGACAGTGATATGTGCGGTGAGATCAGAGGGGCTTGGGAGTGAGTCCAGGTAATTAGGGATGCAAAAGAAAGACTCTCTGGTTGGGCACAGGACTGTCTCTTCTAAAGTTGCTTGTGGGTTTCTGGGCAAGACACTGGTACCCAGCACGCTGCCTGGTCCTGGGCAGGGTGAAGGTTAAGGACACTGGGCAGGAACTGCCAGGGCGAGGAATAAGGAACACATCAGTTCTGCATGGAAGCAGTGTTATGAACTGTACTTGGAGGGCAGGCGACCAGGGAGGATGCCGAGGCCAGCAATCGACACCAGTACCTGAGGAAAACACTTAGATCACCTCTTGTACCAAGAGACCTGGGCCTGAGCTCTGCACGCTGCTGCAGAAGCTGTCTCTACACTGATCCTGTGTGTGAGCAGGGGTGGAGCACTGGCCGGGGATGAGGGCAGGACACGGGGCTTGGCTCTCTCCTACAGCATACAGAGCCTTGTGGCTGGCCTGTCTCAAACTACTGTGGGTGCTTTCTGCAGACAAACTGGGATCACTGCTGGGACATCTCCATCGCTGTAGCTACTGTTACCCATGCTTAACAGAGAAAAGCCACCCATCACCTTAGCCAGGCAGGCTCTGAACCCACTCTTTGGATATTCTGCCACATGCCCCTTCACACCACCCTTCAAAGGATCTGCAATAAGGGAGACGCAGTAGGAAATCAGGCCTGCTTCCCATCCCCAATTCTCTGTCTGTCTCTCCCTCTCCCTCCCTACTCTCTCTGTCTCTGTCTCTGTCTCTCTGTCTCTCCCCCCCCCCCCTCAGCCAGGGACCAGGGCAAAGGCTTGGCTTTTCCCTTGACTGAAGATGGGTCTGTGGCTAGGATCCCCTTTAGGCCCTCAGTTCTTTTGTGGGTCCTGTTGGCAGCCTTCCACTTCGATTAGAAGAAAAAACAACTCAGTACCGAGTACCTGGCCGGTCCTCACCAGAGACGCCTATCCTCATCCTAACTGTGGTTACAACATTGACTACACAGGGCATCATGGGTTCTTGGGATGAGCATGCGTCTGTATTTGAGAAACAGCGCTTGAAAGCACTAATGAGAAACTCTTGGTCTAATCAGATTCCTGTTCTTTTGACTCACAAGGCAGTTTTAAAAACTCCACAGAATGTCAAACGTAGAATGGCCACAGAGCCCAGCAATTCTGCTCCTGGGTGTGTGTCTAAGAGAAATGAAGATGCTAGTCTACTCACAAGGCTCTACCTGGTGGGTCACAGCAGTGCTGGAGTCGGGAGGGCTCAGATCTACACTGTACCCCTTTCCCTGACCTCTGGCTCTGTGTGTGAACAGACGGAGCCTGAGATGCCCTGGGTAGTGCACAGATCCTGGAGATGGGTCCCCAGGTGATTTGCACATCCCTATTCTGTTTCAAGGCCCTGGATGCCTTTATCCTTTGAACTCAGGTTTTCTACAGCACAAATGGGACAGTCCTACAAAGCTCGCTTGGGCTTCAAGATCTACCTCTAGAGTTGGAAAGGATCTCCTTGAAGTTTAAGCAGAGAGAAATATAGCCATGATGGGGAAGTGGGGAGCAACCTGGAGTGGCAAGGCAGGCCTGAGATTTCTAGAGGTCTCTCCATTGTCTAAGGTGGAGACAGGGACATCTAGGGCCAGAGCTGTCTTTGCTAGGGCAGAGGAAGAGCCTCAGGACTCAGGAAGGAGCCAGGGATAGACAAGCAGCTCCTCATATATGCCGTCCGCTGTTATTTCACCCAGGCTTCATCAAGGTCTTCCTTCTGAGCACAGAGGGGGAGTTCTGTGTTGGGAGTGGATGTCTAGTCTACCCAGAATCTTGCTTGAAAGCATCAATTGAAAAAACAAAACATAACTTCAGAAGCAAGTTTGTCTCTGAAGATCACTTAGAATCCATCAGTCCTTGACCACAAGTATATTTTTCCACTAGAAATGGCTGGAATAGTTGCTCATATTATCATTCTCCAAAAAGATGGGGCCTGAGGATCAAAGGGATGCCATGTAGGTATATAAGGGATCTGATGCCTTATTATCTGAGATGGCTCATGAGAACCCTCTTAACTGTGGTCAACTTGGGTCAGACCCACGTCTGCTACTATCCAAGATTGATGAAACAGTCGCATGGGGTGGGGGGATGGCTCAGCGGTTGAAAGTACTCACTGCTCTTGCAGAGGACTGGGATTCAATTCCCAGCAATCACCTGGCGGCTCACAACCATCCATGACTCCAGTTTCCAGAGGATCCAGCGCCCTGCTCTGACCTCTGTGGGCATGGTACACAAACACACAGGCAGAGCACTCACACACATAGAAGAAATAATCTGATTAAAGTCACTAGGACCCTACATGTGTCACAATGACAAAAAGAAAAACCGAATTGACTTTTGGGGGCTCTGAGACCCCACACCTCCACCTTCCTTGATTAGAGTAGCTTCCTGCTCTATTGGTCTCTTCACAGAGCATCACAGAAAAGATCTATTTTAATTCTTGGAAGAAGGAGCAACAATGATGAATCTGTTCTGTGACGAACTAAATGAGGTGTGAAATACTCAGAGTCAGACAGCAGGACTATAAAAATGCTATTTTACAAATCATCTAGGGAATGTTTACCAACTCCTACAGACACAGATGACAGAAGGATGGATACACTCATAGAAGATAAAGATAGTAATATATACATAGGGTGTAGTTATATGAAGTGAGTCAATATAGGTATAAGTTCTATTTAAGCCCAACACCAATTCAGAGAATCGTCTCAAGTGCCTACTGAAGTCTCTATCTTCCCTATTACTTCACCTAGTGAACCAGGATGCCAGATCACCACATGGTGGCGCTGTGGGCCATTTTAAAATGCCACTGTGGCCTGGAAAGGAAAATTGAAGGAAAGGGATTGTGGACCACTCAAGAACTCCAGAGATGACGGCTTGATGGATTCGAGAGAAAGCTTGCTCACTTAGAAACTGAGAGCAGGATCTTCAAGGGCTGATGAAGAACAGCAGCAGAGGTGAGTGAAAGGCTGTGAAGAGGCGAGGGGACGATGGGGTGAAAGGCATTACCATGCTCAGGTTGCCTACACACCCTCATGCTAGCTCATCTGCCATACCTCAGTCTAGAGAACATGTCCAAGGAAGATCAAGTCAGAGGACATGGAGAGCTCAAGATCAACAACCCAGAGGAAGAGAGGGTCTACCTGGAATGTCCCTAAAGGCATGTGGACTTGGTACATGTAGGGGCAATCATACATGCTTCTACGTGATCTTTGCTGGGAGGCAATTATTGTGGGTTGTTCCCGAAAAGATGCTCAGTGAACCAGGAAAACATACCCATTGTTATTTTTTAAATCTAAACAAATGGTTAATTAATGACTCCTGTCTTACATGATTGGTCATATATCAATGTTTGCATTTCATAAGCCAAAAGAAAAGATTTATGTCGTTTGCTATCTCTACTCTTTGATATGCTAGCACACAAACTTGAAAGTTGGTCTTAACTGAGTGAGCTCTGTATGCAAACTAACCCACCAGACATCCTTGATTAAGTGTTTGGACACTAGGGCTGGAGGGATGGCTCAGAGGTTAAGAGCACTGACTACTCTTCCAGAGGTCCTGAGTTCAATTCTCAGCTCATAACCATCTGTAATGAGATCTGGTGCCCTCTTCTGGCCTGCAGTCATACATGCTGTATACATAATAAATAAATAAATCTTTAAAAAAAAAAAAAGTGTTTGGACACTGGGCAGCAGTAGCCAGCCTGGGCATGCTGCATGAAATGCATGCAACCAGCCCTTGGGGATATGCTTCTGTGGGTTGTTCAAGGTACATGGTCAGTCTGCAGCCATCATCATACACTCTGCATGGCCCTGCACCAGGACACCTGCTGAACTTATCAGTTCAGGAGTCCAGAGACTATAAACACCCCTAGCCCAGGCTGGAAATGGGAGTGCAAAACACAGTGTTTAAGCATAAACTGCCTTTGCTCTCCCTGCTGGTTTGAATTACGTTCAGTATGAAGTGAGGGATGAGGGTGTGGTCTCCTCTTAATGATACTTACGAAAGGAAAATTGCTTTCATCATAAACTCCCCAAGGACATATGGTCTTTGGAATTTCTTTGTGGTTGAAGCCAAAAGAAACCACCAGGGGACCAGATCAGAAAGCCAAGCCAAGCCAAAGAGTGTTTTCCTTGGCCCATAGGCTGCTCAGGATTGGCTGAGTCTTCTTGACTCGGGGGACACTTTTTTTTTTTAAGACAGTGCCTCATGTGTCCCAGGCTAGACTCAAACTCACTACATAACTTAGGATGACCCTGAACTTCTCACCTTCCTGTCTTTACCTCCCAAGTGCTGCGATTTACAGGCATGCCCCCCCCCCACTACGCCTAGTCCAATCCATGCTGGGGTTGATCCCAGGGCTCTGTGCGTGCTAGACACACTCTGCTGACTGAGCTACATCCTTGGCCACCCTTCTTTCTTTTTTTGAGACAGGTCCTTGCTAGGCATCCAGTTCACTGATAATTTATATGTAGCCAAGGCTGGCCCTGAACTTATAAAATCCTCCTACCTCAGTTTTCAAAATGATAGGACTATGATAGGATATGGTATATACCACCATATCCGTGCTGGATACTGATTTTAGAAGGAAAAACTGCCCTACAGCTGATTCAGCAAGGGCACCGGGCGAGAAAAGCAGAGTAGTAACAGCACACTGGCACCTGGTGGCAGCAGCGACACATCGATTCTAGGCTAGGTGCCTCCTGCCTTTCTGCGCCTCTTGCCTTAGGAGGTCACAGCAAAAGGCTGGGGACGGAGGAAAGCACCTTATTGCAATATTGACTATTTACTTCTCTACCGGTGGTGAAGGCTCACATTGCAGGTGAGGCGAGACTCTATTAGGAGATGCATTGCAAACGGCCCCCAGAAGGTCATGAAGAGACAGTTTGGCACCTAAGGGCTCAATGACGAACTTGGGTCAAAACTATGGACTGTGTCCGCTCTATCTATGTCCATGACCTTTATGTAAAAGGTCAGAAAATATTTTTAGCCTTCAGAAGTCTATGTCACCCACTCACTCAGCCTATGTAGCCAAGGAGCCAGAGAGAGCATGTAAAGAAATCGATTAATCTGTGTTTCAATAAAGCTCTATTTACATAAACAGGTGCTGAGCCAAACCTGGTTAGCTGTGCCTGTGTACACATCCCCCTAGAATAATGATGAACCCACTGGAAGTCAGAAGTTAAAAAAAAAAATGCATTAAGGGCTGGTGAGACGGCTCAGCGGGTAGGGGCACTGGCTGCCACGCCTCACGACCTGAGTTTGATCCCCAGGACTCAGATGGTGGAAGGAGAGAACTGACTTTCGTAAGGTGTCCTCTGCCCTCCATCTCCCCCCACCCCCAACACACACACAATGCTTTGACAAGACATCTACCTTAACTGGCATCCAGCTCAGCAACACAGAACTCTGTAGAATGCCAATTGCTTCCTGGAGAGGCTGGCTGGGAACTATCAGCCTTCTTGGAGAGGATGGGACCATTGGCAACCTCTGTTGTAGGGCGGTAGTCTGAGTGTGCTGAATAACTCCCTGATTCACATCAGCCCTTCTTTTTTCCCATCATTGTCCCATGATTCACCGTGGCTCCTTGACACCTGATCTTGAAATGTCCCTTCTAAACTAAGGACATTTGTGGTCTGTGTTAAACTCCTCCTCTGGTGGCTTTTCCTGTTTCCTCTCCTCAGCACCATAGCCCTTCCTTTCTTCAGGGCTACTGGGGTTTGTTCTTTGGGTCATTTTGTTCTGTAGTGAAATCCTTCCCATAGCTCCCACATCCTCTTCCCACCTCCCCAAGCCATCCCAGCTTAGGCAGGTGGCTGCTGCCAGCACCTCTGGGGCTCTGTCCCGAGTCTGCACCAAGGCAGGGTGGGGTCAGGCCACTGGGTGGGTGATATGCTTGGTCTCCAACCTGCCTCCCTGGAATTCTTTCAGCTTCCTTTCTGTGAGCACGAGGGGAGTCTATCTCGAGAACATCTGTCCATCTGCCCTGAGAACACGATGGGGGCTTCCTCCGGTCACTTACTGCATTCGCCAGCACCATTCCCATGTATTGCAGCAGCGTGCTGCCCTTAGGCTTGGCTGCAATTCATACCACAATTGTAAAAGGCTCTCCCTGTTCTGAGGCTCATAGATGGTCTGGTTTCCATCACTCCCCTGCAGCTTAGACTATGCTGATCTGAATACTGCTTCTGGTTTTAAATGCCCACTCACAAATTATGTTGTCTACTGCTTCTGTTAATGATGATCAACAATATCACACTCAAGTCTGGTAATGTGATATGGATGATGATGACCCGAGTGATAATGGCTCTGCGGCACGGCACCGAGCTACTTTGGGAAATGAGCATGTGTGCTTAATAAAGACTTGGTTTCAGGGCTGAAATCATGGCTCAGTGGGAAAAGTGCTTGCTCTGCAAGCATTGAGGACCTGGGTTTGAATCCCCAGAATACACATAAGGCCAGACACGGCAGCACATTCATAATCCCAGCATGACTGGCAGGATGAGGGGGCAGAGAGAGCAGAATTTTGAAAGCTCATGGGCAGGCTGGCCTAGTGTATGCTGTGACAAACCAGAGAGTATTTCAATTAAGGTGGAAGGAGAGGACTGTTGTGTAACCATTTCCTCTGAGATTAAAACATTCTATCCCACAAGGAGGCTCTTTAAACAGGAAGGCAAACAAGTCAAACTAGCTGCAGGAAGTTCCTGAAACTGACCAGATTCACTAGTGTCCCCCGTCCCCGTCCCCC